AAGATGAGAATCTATCTATCTATTCTGTATAGTTAGCGTATGTTGGAAAACAGAAAAAAATGGCCGTTGCCTTGTAAGGAACCTTGCAGCTTTCTCCTACCCTGCTGGTTTTGTTCAGCCCATGTAGCTTCGTGTACATCTGTGCACAGGGTGGGGGAGGCTGGCTAGGAAAAGTCTCCTGCAACCTGCTGGGCAGCTGCGCTAATGACCCTGGACTCTGTAACGTGTTTAAGTAGGGAGGGGAAAAAATGTCTAGGGAAACTTGTTGTGTAGTGTAAGAAATTATTACATATTGTAACTTGTTGTACTTTGTTAACAACTTTGGATGAGGTTTGTAGTTCGTTCCACTGGGTTATTCCACCCCTGCATTTGGGTAAAATGAAGAAGAAAGATTTCAGCAAAATTAACAAAGCCGTAGTGTGAGCGGACCCCAGTACAGTCAACATAAGAGCAATACCCTGTTCTGATGTACAATAACTGAGTACAAAATTATGCTTAGTTTCATTCCAGTGTTCCTGGGTATAATTTTAATTCCCTGGCACTGAAATATGTTTAAGTAACAGAAATCAAATTGGGATATCTGTAAATGTGTAAGTAGGTCAAGGCTTCAAGCTTTTACCACACATCACTTGAAGCTTAGTTAATTCCAGACCACTGCTTTCTTTTCCTAGTCTTGGAATTCTTGTATCTAGTGACCATCTTTATGTGGAATTGATTTAGGCCTGTTTTTAAGTGAAGAAAAATCTCTTGCCCTGCACTGATAAACTTTTTGATCTTTTGACTTTTGTTGTCTTTGAATTAATTAAAGAAGCTTCTTAAGAAACAGTGATACTGAATTCTGGTGCTAGGGGACAATTATTGCTAGATGTGTGGATGATTAGCAATGACACTGATATTTAGATTTAGAAATTTAACTGTCAAGGTCTTCCAAAACCACAAGGCACTGAAATCTAAGGAATCATAAAAATTGTTCTCCTAGGAGTTGTATTTATTTCACCTAGCTGTAAATAGATATGGATACTAGTTCTGGTTTGTTGTCAAGACTTCCACTGTGAATAACGGAGAAAGACAGATACCTTTGGGTAGTGACTGATGATTAAAGATAGAAGAGGTGAATTGTACCTCATATGGCAGAAACCTCTTATGATTGCATCAAAGAAGAGAAGCCTAATAAGCTTAATCCTTCAATGGACTTTTAGCAATACACACGACTGAGAACCATCACCTCACTTCATATTTAATAACTTTTAATCTCTCTTCCCCGTGGTCAGATACTACTGGCTCTGTGGGCTTGTTAGCTCTCTGAGGGTTCTGCCTCTGGGGTAAGTCATGCGTGTCTCCATGCCTAGCTCCCAGTGCGTTTGGAGCAGTCAGTGGTCATTATTAGGCAATGGCTCCTGTATCCTGTAGCCTTTCTATTACAGGATATTGCTATCTTCTTTCTTTTTGCTTCATACAAGATGCATTGTCACTGTTTTCATAGAGTTAGTCTTTGAAATAGATTTGACAGCGTCCTTACATGTCAAGATGAAGACTGCAAATTATCTTCACAAGGAGACGTGTGATGTTTTAAATATTAATATTGTGAGTTTGATCTGAGTTGCCTATGCATCAGAAGGTTAGTGAGTTTTTGTCAGGATTAGAATTGCCTCACTGGTAAACAAATGGTACATTTTTTTGAAGAATACATTTATTTAGAATCCTTGTGGTACCTTGAATTTCCTTCTAGCTACATTTTCCCTGTTGTGTATAATGATGACTGAAAAGCTAAAAGATGTGCTTATATGACTTCTTTTTCTCAAGCACATTGATCTTCATTTGCAGAGTGATCAGGAGGCAGTTGTTTGTGGATTTGTTTTCACTGAGGTGGTTTAGGCTAAAAAAGATCCCATTGCATGATCGGAGCCACTCAAGTTTAGCCAGGCAAGCACATAAGAACAGAACTGTGAAAACCTAATTCTGAGGTGAAGTGAAGGAGCTTAAATTTCAAGACTGAGCATTGGGTCAGGTGACTCAGAAGCAAACAATGATACATCAGGAAGGAAAATTATTATATCAGGCAGCAGCTTGTGTTTCCCAGATTAGACTTCTTGAGCAAAATTAGAAGAAGATTTTCTTTCATCATTCTAATTAAACTATTCTGGCCTTTTCATTGTCTTAGGTCATTGTTGATGAATGACAAAGAAGTGCCTTGAGTGCTGCTTCCCAAATATAATTAAATGAGATGTTTTTCAATGGAAGAGATTATACATTTGCTGAATTTAAAGCAGCTAAAATAGAAATAGGGAGTATGCGTATTGAAAGTTAAGCTGTGCACCTGTGTATGTTGGATTAGATGGCTTTGAATCTTTAATTGAAGCTTTTTTTTTTTTTTTTAATTTGTCCTTCATTTTTCTGAGTTCTCATGTTTAAGATTTAGGATGACCACAAAACACAAGTGACCTTTTAGATTTCTGCACAAAAAGGGACAAGACAATTAAGAATTTTGTAGTCTAACAGATAACATACAGAATCCCAGGTCAACTGTAACTAATTAGGAGTCTGCTGTTGTGTTGTATCTTGTTTCAGAACATTCCAACTCATTTATGTAGTAATCTTTATACACTGAATTAACCAGGCAGTTCACAATGATGCTGTCTGGAGTGTGAGCTGCCTTTTGACAGAGGGTGTTTGCTCCTAACACAGAACAATAATCTGAGCTAGACGTGCAGGGGAAGGTGTAATTTTGCAGTGCAGGCATCCTAGAGCTCACTTTGCTAATCGAAACCAAAGAACTCCCCCAGAGCTACAGTCCCTATCAGAGTTAGGTTTTATACAGTTCAGATTAAATCTTGTCCATGAAGCAAGTTTAGGAAAGCATATGTGAATGTCAGTGAACAATTTATTCCATATATCCTCAAAAGACTGATTACTGACAGCTCTAGGAATGCTAGGCATTAAACCTTTGCACTCTTGCGCGTTCCTGACAAAGAGGTAACTGCATATCACTACCTATAATATTATGTTCCAAGATTGTGTCCTACATTTGTAGCAATCCTTATTATAAGGTGAATATACCTTTGTCATGTTGCCTTATGTATGAATTGTCTTCTAAACTTTGTACCAGTGTATCATACATTGTTATTCACTCTGGAGTTCTAGCAATATTCTTATAAGCTTACGCTGCATGTATGGAATTTATCATCAAATTTACTTCAGTTCATTTCCATAGAAGACCATGCATCTATGGTTATAATGTACTTTATTGTTTAAAGCAAAGATATTCACTTGAATTTGAGTGTGTTATTTATTTAAGGCCTCAATACCGACCGAATTTAGAAAGAGTTGAAATAAGCCTTCACTTATTTTATGGATAATAAATGTAGGGACAGATTCCATTTCATAGACAACAGTTTGCTTGCTTGACAGATTCTTCAGAACATTATTAATAGCCTTTTCTATTTAAATAATTAAATTCCATGTCAGATGAAAGTCATTACAATGAAAATGGTACTTTTCTTCTGTTACATTTGTACATTCCTTAATTGTGAGCAATAGACTCGGTCTTCCACATCTTGCTAACAGTATCTACTTCTTGTGTGTACTTACTGGTTTGGACTATGCCACTAGATTTGTGTTCCTTGAGTTCATGTATGATCCATAAGTACATGGAGCATGTGAATCTCCAGGCACTCTCTGTATAAACAGGTTTTTCATGAGCAAAGTAATCAATTTTGTTTTCATATTTGATATGGATTTTTGTGGTCCCTGTGTACACCACTGGTGACCCCAGCTCCCTTTCCTTCTCCTGACTCTATACAACTGCCCCATTGGGCCAATTAATGCACAGAGGCAGCTAACACTGATTTGCTGTTTGCTGATTTGGATCATCTGACTTCTGTGGAAAAAAGAGGTATAACAGAATTTTGCTGGTTAGTCTCTTTTCTCAACACAACCCTGTCACAAACTTTTAATGACTTCTCTGGGAACTTCTTGGGGAGACAGAGGCGAGATAGAGAATTTTTTTTAAGATTTGACTAATAAAATAACATACAATGCTCTGTCACACAGAGTTTTTGGTATGGAGTATGTTGGTGATTTAAGGAAAAAGGAAGGATAGCTGTAATTAATTTTATCACAGTATTGTTGGATATTTTGAGGGGTTAGATATCCCAAGAAAGAAAGATAGAAGTTATGTAATGTGTAAACTTCAATTACAAAACGTGTAAGAATAAACACTGGCATTGTCAGCGAATGACTCTATCTAAATATTTTTTGTGTTTTCCAGTAAAAGGGCTTGCTGTTCATAGTTCACATGAAAGTGAACCTTTGGGTTGGGCATAATTTATAAAATGTATGGGCTAAATTAGCCTAAAAAATTGAGTTGGAAAAAAATGAGCTAATGTAAAAATATTAAAAAAAAATACAGCTAAGTGATTTTAAACATTTTTATACCCACTCCATTACCTACAAAACCTCTTATGTTTCTGGCTCTGCTGTCTCCAGGGATGCAAAATTGCATCATGTTGTATTTTTTTCCTCCTCTCAAAAGAAAAGAAGGAATTTTTGCTTTGAACTTAAAAGCTCTATTTTTGGTTTGAAGAGCCTTTTTGAGAACTGTGTCAGTCCCCTAGAAGCCTGTGTGAGTCTATTATGTTTTTATATGTGGTACAATACCAGTAATACAATCAAAACATGAAGTTCTATATCCAGCAATGGTTTTTAACTGCTTCTTTTAACAACTTTTAACTACTTTAAATGTCTTTGTTCTGTGTCGGTATTTCTTTCTCAAGAGACTTTGAGCATATAGAATGTTTTACTATTGTCCACAAATAAATTACCTGCAGTTTTTTAGACCATTCATTAAAGTTATAGAATATAAATTATAAGTAAAATGAAATAGCAAGAGTGGTGGACCTGTCATTCTGAGACATTGATCTAGGATTTCTTGGAGAATTTTAGGAAATAATTCTGGATTTCTTTATTCTTTCTTTCTTTTATTTTTTTTTCTGTGTGTTCAGATGGAAGACGTCATAGCCCGCATGCAAGATGAGAAAAATGGGATTCCTATTCGTACAGTCAAAAGTTTTCTTTCCAAGATCCCCAGTGTCTTTTCTGGTAAGAGTCAAAGTGAATTTCATACTATTTAAAGTTTCCAGTCTACCTTATGTCAGGGAATACTCAAATGGGAAACGATTTTAACCAAGTGCTATGGGGAATTCACTGTCATCTGGTCTGGAGGAGACATTCACTATCCTTTGAATACTTTAATTACAGAAATTTTTCTCTCACATTGGAGTAGACTTAGAGATGTTTTTGTTCTGTAATTTAAGTGAAGGGAATACTTAATTTACTACAAATAGTCAAATATCTGAAGATGGCAATATTTTTATTGCAGAATTTCTGCGTTTCAGATCTGGTTTTTAGCCTGTTTTCATAGCAAGTATGAGTTTAGTGTATAGGCCAGTACATGAAGATAAGAACTGCCATGGCAGCAGCACAAAAAGAAAATTATCGCTGCACTCTGCAACTGATACTGAATTGTGGCTGTAGACATTTATTACATTTATTAACTTGCATCCTATGGATTTCAGATTAGACAGACTATGGTTATTCGTATAGCAGGAGACATTATTTACCAAAATGAGGGTTTTTTACTGGAATAGATATCATACTTTTTAAGGCTGTGTTAGAATATATATATACAGTAAGTAGTACATAGCAGTCACTGATACAACAACTTTTGTATTGAGATGTGAACTTTATCAACTGCAGGGGAAAAAAGCATAGGAGCATTCATTTTTTTCCCTTTGCAGATTTTCTCCCTCAAATACAAGGGCAGTAATTTTTGCTACACATGACTAAAAAACCCACTAGAACAGCACAACTGTCATTTTAGTTCATTTAACCTACTTTCCTGTCGGTTCTCTGTCCTGGATGAAATCTGAACTCTTCAAACCTTCGTGTTGAGAGTAGCAGGTTTCCTTTAATGTGCTAGGAGTTTGTGTATATGTAGTGAACGAATCTCAGCTTGAACTCAAAACTACTGATTGCTAGGAAACATGGGAGTATTTTTGTCTAAGAATGGTGTGGATAATCATGAAAATGCATATAATAAGAGCTTATAGTACTGTTATTACCCACAAAAGCATCCATATGAAAATGATCAAATCAAGAGCAGATATCTCCAGTTAAAAATTACACATATGTCTATATGCTCATATATATATATATCTCTCTGTGTGTCTATGCATAAACACATGTATTATACCCAGCTATCTGTCCAGGATTATGTCGCATAAAAACTGGAACTTTGCAATTGCTTGTTTGTGGGGAGAAGCAAAATGGGTAGATCTACCACAGTTAAGTCATATTCCTGCAAGCACTTAGAAAAGACCTATAAGAGTTCTTTAAACAACTTGTAAAAATTAAGGATGTCCATAAATTGTCTGTCTGAACAAAGTGTTATGGGCTAGCATTTTAATTATGTTGTATAAAACCCAAAGAGGTATTTTTATTTTTGTTTACTTTTATTTCATCGTATTGCTTCTAAAAACAGCAAGTGAAAAACTAGTTGAAAGAGCAGTCACTTTTTAATGCAGTTACCGACTGCATCTATTCAAGGATGACTACATTAGCAAAATCAGCCTGGGGAATGTTATCTGAACTTAACCTTTTAATAGAATGTTGTGATTCTAATAAATAGGATGATGCGATTATATTATCTCATTTACTGAGTCTTCCTTAAATGTTTTTACAAGTTAAATATCTGCACAGAGGAACATTTCAAATATGGATAATTCTCTATAGGATATACACATTGTTGTGCTTCAGAAAAACACAAAAATAATGCTAAGTTAAAGATTATTTTACTTCGTGAAATTTTGAAAAAATGATTAATTATATTGCTTTATATTTCATATATTCATAGAGAGCAAATAAGTTGCTAAATGTTGATATTTGTACATTCGGTTTTGTGAGCAAGCTACTTGAATTCAAACACACCATTTCTGTTCAATTTCTTTCTTGAAATCTTTCAAAAGCAAATCCTTTAGTTGTCTTTACCTGATTAAAATATGCATAAAATTGGTTTGCAAGCTGTTTGATAAAAAACAATACAAACCCATAGATGTGTGCTTATTACTCTTCATATTTGTATGCACATTTAGGAATGTATCAGATTGACTTTATGCAACAAATTTGTCTATGGTGTAAATTCACTAGAGATGGTGAATTGCAGACTAATTTGGATGATAGCTTTCCAGTCACCTACAAGCAGGAGGTGAAGTGATTTGTGACAAAAATCCAATCCTTGACTGAGCTCCAGTGTATCATATATGCCAAGATCGAAATCTCTGAAAACAAGGGGGTGAAAACAAAGCTTTTAACACCTATCCTGGTTCTATACTTCATTTCTTAGTGCTGAGAGATTTTTCCTAGCTGTTCAGCATTAATGATATTAATGATATTCACTTGAGTTCTTTTGATAAAGAACTCTATAACATTATACCTCTTTTTATGCAAATAACTATGATGAACAACTTAGTATATTGCAAAGTCTTTAATATAAATGATGGGGCTTATTTCACCTAGAAATAAACAATTATTAGAGAGGGAAAATGTTTCCTTGTCTAACTCCAAATGTGATTCAGCATAAAAGAATCAGTGGAAATACAACATTGGGAGCTGACTACTCTGACTTTTACTTGTGTTGCCTGCAGACCTGCAACCTGTTGTGCTCATAAGTGAATATCTGTGATGTATTTTAGTATGTCATGACAAGCAAGAATAAGTATCAAACACCCCAGAATTATTCTGTACCGTAGCTTGTTGAGTCTGATGAGCTAATAGTTTCATTGGACTCAAAGCTTTTTTTACACCAAGAGCTGCATCATTCAGTGTTGCAGAACAGATATTTACAATCTTCATGCCTGTTTTTTTGTTTTGTTTTGTTTTGTTTTGTTTTTTAATTTGAGTGAAATAATTACTACATATGGCTTTTTCAACGTAATTCTATAGTGACTCATCGTGACACTAGCTCACTGCCTTCTGGGGCCGTTGTAGCAGTATACTATATGCCTATTATGATTTCAGCAAAAAGTATTTTTGGTAAAAGACCCTAGCCTTTACAGAGTCTCGCTGAATTATCCAGCTAGTGCTTGTGAGGGTAAGTACAGTTAGGTCTTTGAACAGAGAGAACATACAATGTGCTGTAGCAGATGGTCTTTGTAGTGATGGTTCACCTCAAGCTGAGTCACCCACAATCTCACTTGCAAGTAGGCTCAGACTGGATGCATCAAAAAGATGAATTTGCATGGATAGCTTTGCAGAAAACAGACTAATATACCTATGTATCTACTACACTAATGGCTGAAATCAGATTTGCTAGATCATATTTTAGATCCTACACCGGTCACTGTTAGTGGAAATTCTGCTGTAAATTGTAGTATTGCTTTAGTCTTGGCTGCTTAAGCATGTAAGTAACACTATGGTGTAACCATCATTGCTTGAGTAATATCCTCCTGTCTTTGAGAATGGAATAATGTATTTTTATTATGAACAATACAGTCTGCTTATGCCCATTCATATTATAATCTTGAGTGTGAAAACCACACCAGAGATTGTGTTTTAAAAATTGCATTGTTCTAAAAGTGTATCCTCTAGCAGAGTCTGAACTCTCTCTGAACTGATTATACACCAGGTGAACTGGAAGTTTTTTGAAGGAGAGATTGAGTCAGTTTTCTCAGTAGCTTTAAGCGTAGTTACATGTCTGGCCATCTAAAGCTGGGCTTGAAGATGACACTGAAGTAGTTTCCTGTGTGGTTCTTGGGAAATATGACTGTTTAATGGCAAAATTGTAGTTATCCCTGTCTATGGATCTAAGTCACCTTCTGGATTAATGCTGATGACCGCAGCCATGGGCACTCAGTTTTCAGATGCACATGTTTAAAACAGTTGTTGATGGCTGACTAGGCTGCAGTAATGCAGGACCCCCTGTACGCCTGCAGTGTAGTCATAATAATGTTATTCATCAGATATATATCGTGGCTTTGACTGGAAACTTTAAAGGCTCCAAGGAAAAAAATAGGCAGGAGAGTTTGCTCTTTCTATGCGATTATGCATTTCAATGAACAAGAGAAGGGCTTGCTGTTGTTGTCTCCATGGTTTTAAAATGTTTTGGAGGAGTGATGAAGATAGTTTATATAGACACCTTGCCAGTCAAACAATAATAATTGCATGAAGGTTGTCATGTGCATTCTTTACTAACACTGATTAGAGCATTAGCAATAAAAAGAAGGCATGGAACATGGTTCACCATTGGGCCTGGAAATGGATAAAAAAATCTTTCTTGAAGTGATGAATGTAGGGAGTCTGACATATGAATCATAGGGATTAGATGGAGCTCTAAAATATCATTTTTATTTTTACTAAGGAGAGACAGCAAGTAAATGCCAAAGTTTTGCTGTTCACTTTCAAGCAAAAAGAAGCATTCAGAGTTTACAGATCAAGGACTGCAATAGTCAAGGGTTTCTTTTGGGGGTCTTTGTGGGGTGGTCAGTATCAGTACTGAAAGCTTCATAAGCTAATCATAATGTGGATATTTCATTAAATCAGAGGTAGTGATATAGCGGTGTCTTATGGTCATTATGGAATATCAGTGTGATGCTTTATAGAACTTTAAAGTATATAATACTTGGATATGCTTGGTGATTAATAAATCTGGGGAGAATGTGCCAACTGAGTGGTGCGTAAGTGTGAATCAGGGACACCGTTTAGCGTTTTTATTGAAGGAGCGAGGAGAACTATGAGAAATCTAAGTTCAATTAAAGAATACATGCAGAGAAAGAATAAAAAGTATTCAAGGAAAGCATGTTCATACTAGTTGTTACTGGCTGTTTCTGATGCATGGCTCAATAATTTTGGAAAGTAGTCACAGCTTGAACTAACAAAAATGCAGGAGATAAGTAGAAATGTGGCTTTTTAACATCTCCTTCTGAGTTAAAGAGAAAGCGAAAAGATTCATTTACCTTTCCCAGGAAAATGTAATCCATGTGAAGTCTTTAGTTTTTTCTCATTCCTAGATGTGAAACTGGTATTGTGCTTTTTCCATATAGACA